CCCGGCCTCAAGTATTGTTACCTTTGAAACTTTTTGATATGTACAAGTTTCTCATCATTGGTGCGCATATTTTCTCAAGGATTGTATATACACTTCCAAACCATAGCAAACAAATTAGCAATTAATTATAACTGTTAATCTTGACTTTGTTTGTGTTGTTTGTTTAATTTTTGTCTGCATTCTTGACCAGTAAATTCCTTTACTACATATTTTATGTCATTCTAATCCCCCTAGATACTTACTGCAGAGACAGACAGAGCAGTGGCTCCATTAATGCCAGTTTCACTGTCAAGGATATATGCCATTTCCAATGGTTTATAGAGTCAAGCAAGTTCTTGTTTCTGTGATAATCCTTTTAGTTTCATTTGCACCTAGCAGTGAACTGCAGAAGTTCCCTCATTAATAAGCCAAAATTGCACATTTGAAACACAGCTTCCAGCAATATCAATGATGTGATCAGTGTAACCTTGAGGACTTCATGGAAGCTGCTAAGACACCAGGAAAGGGCATGTGAGGAGAGATACAGGAATAGACATTTTATTGATTTGCTGAAGATCATATCTGGATTGTATCTATTTTGTCATCATGATTATTGATAAGCACTTGCTATATCATTGTTGTAAGATACCCTGATTTTCTAAATAATTTTCATTCCTGCCTTTTCTGACATGGAAGGGATCCTAACTGATGAGATTTGTTGGTGGCTGCTATATTTTATTTTAAAGGTTATTGGAGAGCATATGTTCTTCAAAACATTATCTTCATTGAAGTATCTTGATAATATGCCTAACACAGGTATTTCTCATTTATAACAGCCTGTTTAACAGCTATTCAGACTAAGGACTGAGAAATGCTGTTTGGTCTTACTACCTGCCACTTGAGTTTAAGACCCCTCTTTTGGTTTTTTGTTTTGTTTTTTGGTTTTTTTGCTACATCTTGTTTATAGACCTTAGTGTCTTTTTTTGTGTAGTATACCTTATTTATACAGTATCCTAATTTTTGCTGAATGTTCTGTACAGTTCTGTATGTTACACATTACAATAGGAGTTATGCATATAAAAGCAAAGTCATCAGGGCTGGGGATTTAGCTCAGCGGCAGAAGCACCTGCCTGGCAAGTGCCAGGTCATGAGTTCGATCCTCAATACCCCCCCCCAAATAAATAAAAGTAAAGTCATCAAAGTAGTTTTGTTTGATGATTTGTGTGTTCTGAATATTATACATACTACGTACATACAGTTTCTCATTGCCCAAGATTTCCTGGGCAGCTGATTTTTCGACTGGTGTTGTAACCATGACGCTAACAACTTTATTATGAAAATTCAGTACCTGCAATGAAAATCTTGCAGCACAAAATTGGATTCTATACCTGTGAGAGATTTTTAGCCAGTGTCAGTGACAATGTCAGTTAATACTTTTTACTTAATATTTAAATTGTAGCTTTGCTGTAGAGACAGGTAAGGAAGGACTCAATAATAAGGCATTTACAACTAGTAAATTCATTTTGCTTTAGAATGAGAAAATTAAACTGCATACAAATGAAACAAATATTAACAATAGACAATATAATTGAGTATTAAGGCAAATAAAAGGGAGATTGGTATATGTGAGGGAGAATGGAAATAGAGACCAGGAATAGAAAAGTGAATGATCACTATAGAATCCTATCTTCCCTGGAATATTGGGGTGAGTAACTATTTGGAAATTAGAATTTCACATTCACATCTGCTCAAAACTCCCTCATGTCCTAGGATGAAAATCGAGAAACAAAAACAGTATGCTAGCCTCAAATCTTATGAAATTGAAATTTTTATAACCTGTTCTGATCATCTAAACTAACTATGCTGGCAGGTGTTTTCCTGTTACAATATTCATTATCAAACTGTAGGACCATTTAAGCGCACAAACCCCCAATTTTTTATGCACTCAAAACTTGATGTTAAGTATTAAGAATTTATTTTTTTATTTTTTTGTCTTTTTCCTTTTTTACCGGTACCAGGGATCGAACTCATGACTGCCTGCTTCCAAGGCAGGTGCTTATGCCACTGAGCTAAACCTGCAGCCCCCAAGTATTAAGAATTTAGATTGCCTTGAATTTGTTGTTTGGGTATACAATGTCACTTTACTTCTACTGCTTACATTTGTTATTACATCATCAAGTGAGTTGGAGTGGCACATGTCTATAATCCCAATTGCTCAGGAGGATCACCTGGGTAAGGCCAATGTGGGATCTTAACAGAAGACTGTCCTAGCACAAAAAAGACTAGAAGTGGTAATGTGCCTGGGTTTCATTTTCAATGCCACCAAAAAGGAGTAAGAAAAAATTGGGTCCAATCTCTTATGACAATTACGTTTTAATATACTGCCCTCGAAGTCTAAGTCTTCTAAGTCTAAATTAGCTGCTTAGTCTTTATTGTTTAATATTTGTGTACTATTCTTTTGTGCTCATATTTTCTAAATAACTTCATTATTAGACACATCCTGGAAATAACTTGAGTTTAGAAAATGATAGATTGCAGATTGAATTCTGCCTCTTAGTCAGCTTTATAACTTTGAGCAGATTCTGAACCTCTGTGCTTATCTGTGAAATGAAGTTCTAGCTGCTTCGTTTTTAATGTGTTTTTTTTGTTGTTGTTTTTTTGTGCCAGGGATTGAACTCATGACCTCGCATTTGCAAAGCAGGCCTTTAGGCCACTGAGCGCTAGCTGCTTTGCCTTATAGACTTAGCACTTCTGTCCAAGTTATCAGTGTACATGTCTGTAAGGCAACAGTCAGTGGTATTGAAACAGGGATTGAATGTGCTGTTAGGGAATATGAGCTTTAGAATCAACAGTTTTTAGTTCGGATGTGTTTCCAGGGCATCATCTGAAAAACATGTAACTTTTTAGTATCTTTGCAAAACAAGTATAAGAAACCTACTTTAGTCAATATAGTTGCATAATACAGTGTGCCAGCTAATTCATTACTGCCTGCCTATATTGACCAGTGTTGGTTCCCTCTTCTTTTTTCATCTTTGTTCTTCTGTGACTTGTTGGTCTTTTGTATGAATGAGTGTTATATTGCTACAAGGTAGTCTGCTTTACTTTGTAAAAGAAGTTAGAATAATCGAGATACAGACTACCACGTTTTTCTTCAGAAGCTGCAGCTATCTGTCATGTGCTCGTTTGACATTTTTTAAATACAGGAAGTTGCTCACTGCTGAACCAGTAAAGAAATGCCTTTGGGGTAGTAGATAAATATTAGCTCTGGGTTAGGCTTCATTAAAATATACTCCTAAGTTTTTAATGACCAGAGGAATTCTTACTGTGGTCATTTTGAGATCTATTGAAGTAACAATTTTTGCATTTTCTTTCTCTTATTTTTAAGATACAAAGAAGGAAAACAATAAGCAACTGTTTTAAATTACTAACTTATAGTTAGCATGTACCTTTTATAAATATTACATAATGTTTCTAGAATTTGTGTTCAAATTGAAATATTCTTAGCTCCTTAGTGATTTATCTAGTTGGCTTGAGTGTGTGTGTGTGTGTGTGTGTTTGTGTTTGTGTTTGTTTTTGAGACAGAGTTTTGCTATGCAATGTAGGCTGGCATTGAACTCACTACATAGCCCAGGCAACCCTCAAAGGCAACCCTCAAATTCACAGGGTTCTTCCTACCTCTGCCTCCCAAGTGCTGGGAGTGCAGGCATGTGCCACCACCCCTGGCTACTTGGTTTCAAAGATTATTATTTACCTTATAATTGTTTTTCAAAGCATTTATTCTCAGAGAACTTTTTATTCTCTTGGTAAATAAAGTAATAATTGCCTTATAAACATCTTCAAAAATGAATTCCTGGATAAAATATCTTAAGTGCATCTGTGATTTTATTTACAGAAAGTCTGCCTTTTCTACAGTTGTTGCCATTGGTATCTGTCATCCCATTGTATCTGTAGTTTTAAAAAACTGAAAATCATGAATTTTGGGATAATGCTGCCAAATAGGGCTGTTTACTCTGGTAAGCAAGCCATTAGACTAGCTGCTTAGTAATGTCTAGTCAATATCTGCAGGGATCTGTATATGAAATATTACATTAACAGGAAAGAAGTGGAAATGGGATGCAAGAAAGATTTATAATTGCTCAGAAATCCCTGAAATACAATTCATAATACTGTTTTAAGTCCTAGAGGAGTACGTTTTTGTGAATAAACTAAAGAAAAAGTATACAAGTTTCTTAATGTCAAGATACTGTCTTTATAACCATCCTTGGACTCTGTGTCTTTTTTCAGTTTGTGGGAAGGAGTGTTAAATGCATGATAAGCCTGATGTCTGTTGTGAAACTTGTCGATTTGGTGTTGACTTTTTTATAATAAACTATTTTACTTGTGACTAAATAAGAAAACTATGTACTCTTAACATTGGTGTCACAGATTATTAAAACTTTATAATAGCCTTTTAAGTTTGTTTCCCAATTTTACCTTTTTCTCTAAAGGAGCTTTAAAGTTATTTGGAATTCTCTAAAATCTCAGTTGGATTGAAAATATATGAAACATTGACAGAGTTGCACACTATTGTCACATTTAATCCAGGAACATGATGTGTGTTGTTTTCATTAAAATTATTTTTTTGTTTCTTTCATAAAGTTGTTTTTGTTTGTTTTGTCTTCTGGAGATTAAACTCACAACTTCATGCTTACTAGGCAGGTGCTGTGCTAGCTACCAAGCGTTATCCCCTACCTCTTCATAAAATTTTGTAATTTTTTTGTTGCTACAGGCTTTGCAAATTTCTTAAGAGATTTTGCCTTTAGCTTCATAATTATTTTCTATTTTGTTTTAAATATGATCTTTTTCTGTTTTCTAAGTGGTGATACAGAAAGGGTCGTTCATGATTTTTACTTATTAACCAAATTGTTAAAACTTTTTAATTCTAAAAGTTTGCTTTTCTCTTAGTAAATAGATTGCACATACTTTTGTAGAACAAGGAGTTGACATCTGAATTTACCTTTTCAAAACTTTTTTCTTTTAAGCTCTTTTCACTTATGGATATGAAACCGCCCATCTCTAGAGCCAAGATGATTCTCATCACTAAAGCTGCTATTAAAGCTATTAAGGTAAGAATAAAATAAATACGTTTGATGTAGAAAAGTTTTTGTAATTTTGAAGATGTTACTTAACATCTTGTGAGTTTCAAGTTGAATCAAAGAGCACTAGAACACCAATCAGCTTTTGCTTGAGGTTTCTAATACTGTGCATTTATTTGCATTGTAGTGTATTGTTTCAAAGAATTTTTCTTTATTTTATTTAATCCTTGTTATAAACTAGCAAGTAGCTTCCCTTTCATTAAAAAAATTTTAAGAAACCCTCAAATGTCTTACCCAGGATTAAACTTTATAAACTGTGTGCTTAGTTCTTACTCCATTATTCTTGTCCTTTTGGTAAGGTTGTCAGATACCCTGCTTTAAACAGCTTTATTGATTAAAAATTTAAGAAAAAGACCTTCTGTGGATATGTTCTGATAGGTCAAGATTTTTTTTCTGTTGGTCATTTTGGAGTACTTGTGATGATTCACTGAAATATTATCTTAATTCTTCAAACTCAACAACTATCAAAGTTTTAAAATGTTTCTAATTATAAGAAATGTAGAGTTATTTAATTATGTAAATTTGCAGTAATTTTCTTTCAATTCTTTTCAGCTTTATAAGCACGTAGTTCAAATAGTAGAAAAATTCATCAAAAAGGTAACTATTTTATTACTGCCTCATTTTATTTAATGCATATTTGTAAATTGTAATTTGGATGCTTGCCTCCGAAGCCACTCTAGAGAAAAAGTAGAAATTGGATGTTCTTTTTAATCACTAAAGTTCACAAAACTAACAGTGCCATTAATTGAGTAGTTACTATGATGTTGGCACTTTACTAATGTCGTGCATCACAATGGTTATCTTGTCTTTGAGCTAGAACTTTTCCATAAGCCTAATGGTCCTCCTCTATCCTTCACTTCATCTACTTTGTTGACATTTTAACTTGCTTTGAGTACTTCATATAAAATTATTTTTTAAAATTTTCTTGATATTTCTGTATTCCCACCAGAATTAAACCATTTTTTAGTTCTGCAGCTGTTACCATCTAACTTGTATGGTCAGCATATCTGTCAGTGGAAGACTAGGAGGGCAGTCTCCTGTATATCTTTGTCTAATACCCCTCACCTAGCCTAAAAGCTGTGCTATGGAGTATATACTAATACATATTTGTGTTGAAGTATAAAATATGTAAGCCAGTCATGGTGGTGCCTGTCTGTAATCCCAGCACTCTGGATGACTTGAGGCAGGAGGATCACAAGTTGGAGCCCAGACAGAGAAACTTAATTAGACTGCATCTCAAAGTTTAAAAATGGGCTGGGCATGTAGTTCAGCACAAAGGCCCTGGATTCAATCTCTAGTACCACCAAAAAATAAGATTTTTGCCATGATTTACTCATCCAGTTCCTTTTAGCTGGATAGTTAGCTATTTCTCATTACTTTTTAGAGAAAATGCTCTGGGAGCTAACTTTATGGGGGAAAAGTCAGTGCATCAGAATGATGCTGTTCTCCTTAGTATCAGTCTAGATATAGAATTGTTGGGACAAATAAGGCTTCGCCTCTATTGGTAAATCACTGATATGTGAAAGAGAATTGGGGGAAAGGGAAGAAAAATATAAATATAGACTAAGATGCAGTATGTGTATGTACCAACAACAATGATGATACTCATTATGTATCACAAGCATACCAAAAAGAAAAAAAAAAGGGTTATACCCTTTCCTGATACAGAATACATGTAAGTGCCTGCTTTTCTATTTTTTTTTAAGTGCCTGCTTTTCTATTTTTTAATCTTGGTCAACACCCAAAATGTCAGTGTAGTTGAAATTCATACATTGTTCATATTTTTAAAAAATAATTTTAAAAGGTAAAAATTGTTGAGCTGAAGTAGAGACTGTCATAAGTGAATTTGTATGATGATGATATGGGGATTGATAATGTCAGTTCTGAGTAGCTGTGGCAGGGGAGGTAAAGAGTAAATAAAAATAAACTTTTAGGCATCTGAAGTATCAGTGAATGGTCTTTCTCTAGACATTTGTGGGAAATTTGGCAAGTTAGCCAATTAGATGTACATTGGAGTAGTTTGTAAACAGTCACTGGATGGATATAAGTTACTCAAATAAGAAATTAATGGATATCAAATTGTGATTTTGCTTATCTTGTATTGACTTTATATCTTTATCCTTGCAGTGTAAACCAGAATACAAGGTCCCAGGATTGTATGTAATCGACTCAATTGTGCGACAGTCTCGTCATCAGTTTGGAACTGATAAAGATGTTTTTGGGCCAAGATTCTCTAAAAACATAACCGCCACATTCCAGTATTTGTATCTTTGTCCATCTGAAGATAAGGTATTATTAATTTTTAAATTAAAGTTGTATTCTGTTGGTTTTGGTTTTATTTAAGTGTACATTTAATTGTATATTAGACACATGAAGCCTCCTTACTAGATAAGATAGCCATGCAGCGTGATCTCTGGGAGTTTGCTGCAAAACCCAGTTTTCTTTGCAGCAATCATTTCTTGTTTTCTTGTAAAAGCCTTCAGGAATGTTGTTCTATTATAATATGAAAGAATCAAATTTGTAAACTCAGTGGAATAGTGATTACTGGGAAGTGGGGAATGGGAAGCTGCTGATCAGTAGATCTGAAGGTCCAAGTAAGAAAGATGAGCAAGTTCTAGAGATCTGCTGAACAGCATGGTACCAGTAGTCGACAATCCTGGATTGTACACTTAAAAATTTGTGAAGAAAGTGAATCTTAGAGCCACGCATGGTGGCACACTCCTGTAATCCCAGCACTTGGGAGGCTGAGGCAGGCGAATAGTTGCAAGTTCAAGACCATCCTGGCTAGAAAGTGAGCCCAATGCCAGCCTGAACCACATAGCTGAGACTCTGTCTCAAAAAAGAAAAAAAAGAAAGTTAATCCTAGGCTTCAGATATAGCTCAGTGGCACAGCGCCTGCCTGGCAAATGTGAGGTCATGAGTTCAGTTACCATTACCAAGGGGGGAAAAAGTAAATCTTACTTAAGTGTTTGTACTAAAAAAAAATAAACTTTAAAAAAATACGTGAAAGAAACATCTTTAAAGAAACTGTTGGAAAAATGTGCTTCTATGGTTGAGTAATGAAGAAATTTTGTAGTAAGCAAAGACAGTGCTCTTCTTAGATTGCTGCTTATTCCACAAGAAAGGGCCAGTAACTGATGGTCTTCCCCAGCATACAGTGACGCTGGAATGTAAGTGGTATGAACAAGTAGACTGTAGAGCAGTGGTGGCAGACCTGTGACACACATGCTACCATGGGCTCTTCATGTTACTGAAAGCCCTAAAAATTTGCCATCATGGCTATAGTGTTTAATTCTTCACATATGGAGCTGATTTCCCAGTGTAATATAGAAAGGTAGAAGAGCATTGCAGTTGAGTACATGGACTCCAGGTGGAAGAATTATACTGCTATACATAGTAATGAAGGATGGAACATTTATAATAGCATATAAATTTAAGTGGTATAGGTACTCTGCTTGTATTCTTAAAGGAATGCTTCTGTGGGAAAAAAGGACAATTCTTGGAGTAAGGATTAGAAGTTGTACTCGTGAATACACCTGTTCTCTGGATCTCCATCGGATTTATTTCAACACAAAACAACTAACTTCTCAGTTAAAAACAACAACTTTCCCACAATGGAATACCTTTGTAACTGTAAATAAAATTTACTGAAAGCACCAGCTAATACATTTGTTTTTATTCCCTAGATCTATGTTCTATTTGTGGTCCTTAGTTTAAATTATACCCACCAAAAGAAGACTAATTACAATAGTTTGACCAGGTTATAATTCTAATGGAATTGTGTGCTTTTGAAATGTTGGCAGGGGGTATCTTTTTATAAAATAAGGAGTATTATTAATTATGAAAACATTTATTGGATTTTTTTGGCATATGACAGAGTAAAATAGTTCGTGTGCTGAACCTTTGGCAAAAAAATGGAGTGTTCAAAATTGAAATCATTCAACCTCTTTTGGACATGGCAGCAGGAACCAGTAATGCCGCCCCATTAGCAGAAAATGTCACCAATAATGAAGGTACAGTCAAGTCTTATCTGTAAGGTTAGATTATGGTACGAATTTTATACATGAATAGTTTTTCATTTGTGTATTTTACTGGAATCTTGAGTTTCCATCTTGGACAGAACAGTTTTTCTTTCCATAATTCTTATTTTCTGGTATAAATCTGATCTTTTTATAACTTATTTTAATAAAAACCCTGGAAACTGCATTCTCTATAACTAGACGGGATTTTAGTTTAGCAGAGAACCTTAAAGGAGTTTAAAAGAGAATTCTATACATTAACATTTTCATAGGCCTTACTTAATGCCCTTTTCTTTTTTTAGGCTCTCCTCCACCTCCAGTAAAAATTTCTTCTGAACCTCCACAAACCACTCCAAATTCCATACCTACTGTACCACAGCTGCCCAGCTCTGATGCTTTTGCTGCTGTGGCTCAACTGTTTCAGACAACTCAAGGTCAGCAGGTAAGCTACCTACCTACTCAAGGACTGAATTGCTTGCAGGGTTAGGTACTGTTGTCAGTTCTTATTTTCCATTCTTACTCATAAGCACATTGAAGAGAGAATGCCTACTTTTCAACTAGAAAAGCTTTCAGTGGGGAAGCTGTGACAGAGATAATAAGTAAAATGTGATACTGAAAATCCAGGGAACAGCGATGCCTGTGTGAAAAGAACTTCAGAACGGCCAAGGGCCAGGTGCTGTTCACGATTCTAGGATTTGTGAATGATTGTGAAATTATGTGGATTAGAAAAAATTCTTTAATTTATATTACTAGAAAACGTGCTTTGATTACACTCAGTGTATTTTCTCTTTGACAATCATTTTTATATCTTTGGAATTGTCAGCACACATTTTAAACTTCAAGTGATACACCCTATGCCCAATATATTCATTCACAAACTTTAGCCTGTTGGTAAAAGGTTGACTTTTTCCTCCAGTTTTCTTAATGCTTATGCTATTTTTGGTCACTTTCAAGATTTTTTTCAGTAGATTATTTTTGATACTATGATTACTTTGTTGTGGTTTATCAGTTTTCCCATTCTTTAAGCTTCAGCAGATCCTTCAGACTTTTCAACAGCCTCCAAAACCACAGTCTCCTGCCCTTGACAATGCTGTGATGGCTCAGGTTCAGGCTATCACAGCTCAGTTAAAGACAGCTCCTACACAACCACCTGAACAAAAAGCTGCTTTCCCCCCACCTGAACAAAAAACTGCATTTGACAAGGTATGCTTCTCTCACATCACCCACCTCATTGTCTGTCTCATTCCACTTGGCTGTGGGCGCTCCCTTCTGTGTTTCTCTGTGGATTGTTTGCTCTCCTCATGGTCTGAGGGATCTTCTTCTGCACCAAAACATTGATTATCTTACTGGTTATAAAAGTGATATGTGGGGCTGGGGATTTAGCTCAGCAGCATAAGTGTCCCTGGTACCGATAAAAAAAGGAAAAAGACCAAAAAAAAGTGATATGTGCTCAGGGGCTGGAGGTTTAGCTCAGCGGCATAAGCACCTGCCTTGCAAGCAGGCAGTTGTGAGTTCGATCCCCGGTACCGATAAAAGGAAAAAGACAAAAAAAAAAAAAAAAGTGATATGTACTCATTGAAGAAATTTTCAGTAGTGATGGAAAATGAACTCAGTTTTTCCCTAACCCCCCCCATACATAGCTAATACTGTGACATTTTGGAATATGTCTTTTTAGAATTCATTGCCTATAGAGATATGTTTTTCTTTGATATATTCATCTGCATGTTTTGATTGTAATCTTGTTTGGTTGTTGTTCTTGTTGCTGATAATGGAGGAAGATCTGTTTTATTAAAATGCTTATAATCTAATACTCTGCTACATGGACACATCATAGTTTAACCATTCTCGTACTGACAGACATTCAAGTTACTTTCTATTTTTTGCTGTTGGAAACTTTAGTTACTATATATATAATGTGAGGGTTTGGGTTGGTTCATTGTATTTCAGCTGGGCATTAGGGTTCTTAGGCATGTTTAAGCAGCTGCCACTAAGGGTATGGGCATGCCAAAGATGCACAACTTCCTATCTGTGATCTGAACCCTCACAGCGTCACTTCTGTTTTTTTTTTTAATTGGGTTTATGGCTTTATGAGGTTTCCTTTCTCATTTCACTGCAAAAAATAACAAATTTGAAAATAAAAGAACTAAATGACAATTTGGTATCATCATCTCTAAAATTTCTGATGCTTCCCAACATTCTAGTTGTAAGCATTGCTGGTGCATGGTGGCATACACTTCTAATCCTAGCACTCATGAAGCTGAGGCAAGAGGATTGCTTGAGAATTCCAGACCAGCTATAAAGTCAGTTCAAGGTCAGCCTGAACTGCATAGCGAAACCCTATCTCAAAGAGACAAAAAAATAATAATTATTGTAAGAACATTATTGCTAGTAGTTCAGATTAAAAATCCATGATAAGTACTGGTTTTCATTATCATTTGTTGAGTTATGACTACTAATGAAAAGGTTGGAATAGTTTTAATATCTGTATAGCAGGGAACACTTAAGCTACTTTCCCAACCCTTTTTTATTTTGAGGCAGGGTCTTGGCTATGTAACCTAAGCTGGCTATGTTGCTCAAACTCATAATCCTCCTGTCTCTGCCTCCTGAGTAACTAGGAGTATAGGAAGACACTACCATACTTAATCGTTGGACAAATTTTGAATAAAACAGGAATACTTTCTTGTATGGAAAAGCAAATAATACGGGGAGTTAGAAGGGAAAAGTGGGAAGTGATCACACTACTGTGAACAGATTTGTTGGTATATGTTCTTCCACACCTGTTTTTTGAGAACAAGCAAGCATAAATTTTTAATATGGGTAGTTTTGTTCATGAATCTGTTCTCTGTTTTGACTTGGAAATGCACCACATCTGTACTTAAAATAATTCTATATACTCTTCCAGCAGTTCTATGTTTCTGTCATTTATTTATTTATTCATTTTTTGTGCCAGGGATTAAATTCATGACCTTGGGCTTGCCAGGCAGGCACTTGTGCCACTGACCTAAAATCTTGGGCTATGTTTTTGTTTTTTTAATGTTTGGTTTTTAGTCCGACTGGAATGTAAGTTTGCTTCAATATGGTTGTCTTTACAGTTTGGAAGATTGCTTTGCTCTGTTCTTCTTTAGTATTTTTTTCTTTTGTTAAACCGGTACATTTATTTATTTCTGCTAGTTGAAATAATGCACTCTTCCAGTGCTAGAAATGGAATCTGGGGCCTAGTACATGCTAGGAAAGCACCCTATTACTGAGCGCCAGCATGTATATACTGTATTTTTTCCACATGTTGTCCTTAAGTCTATCAGACTTTCTCTGGCTATTCATGATCATAACTATGGTAGTTCTTCAGAGAAACAGAATTAGTGATTACATTAGTTGATTGAGCAATGGAAGAAATTAGTTCATGCAGTTGGGGGACCAGCAAATTTACAATTGGTTGGGCAGGTCAGTAGTCTGGAAATCTAGGTAAGAGTTAATATTGCAGGCCTGAGTCGGAGTTTCACAGGGCAGCAGACTGGGAACTCAGGTGCTGTTTCCATGTTATAGGCTTGTTTGAAATGGGGCCTCCCTGTGTAGTTCAGGCTAGCTTCTTGAACTCACTGCAGAGACCACCACCACATCCTCTTGAGTGAGTGCTGGCTGTGATGAGCCTCCACAGCTGGCCCCAGCCTTTCATTTAGAGACGGGATCTGACTGGAACCTCTCTGATCCTTATTTGCTCAGCCTTTCAAGAGTACCTGATTTTAAGGGCTGGGGATTTAGCTCAGCGGCATAAGCACCTGCCTTGCAAGCAGGCAGTCGTGAGTTCGATCCCCGGTACCGATAAAAATGAAAAAGACAAAAAAAAAAAAAAAAAAAGAGTACCTGATTTTGGTTCTGGGTGAGGGCCATCTTGCCTGGCTTCTTGGATTCCTTTATGCAAGATCAGTACACAAGTGGTCCAGGACCCCAGATAGTCGGGGAGGAGAAAGAGTTTTGGAGGTTGCTTGGCACCAGAGGGGAAGAAAGTATGGGGGATTGTATACTAGGTTGAGGTGCCTCATTGGTTGCTCCCGGACACTGCCAGGATGATAACAAAGCTGATGGCTGCTTTTTGCCTTGCCTTGTCAGTAGTTTACTTGTTTAAGTGGTAATTACTATTTTGTCTTTACAATATGGAATCATAATAATACCAAAAAAGTTTTGGGAGTCAGGGTCGCCATCATATCCCATACTTGTCATATTCTGGCTTTACTGGCAGGCACCATCCTACCCTGCTAAAAATTCTTTTGAGAGCTTATATTGGATTTTCTTTTTTTTTTTTTTATCAGTACCGGGGATTGAACTCACAACCACAGATGCTTATGCCGCTGAGCTAAATCCCCAGCCCCATATTGGATATTAAAAGAGTTCCACATTTTCATTGTCAAAAAAGGAAGGAAAATTGCCTTTAGTGGGCAAACATTGGTGTGGTGTTCTGTTGTGTTCTGTTTTGTTTTTGTTTTAGGAGGGAGATGGAGGGAGGGAAAGCAGGAAGGTGGTCAAGGGAAGCCCAAGGGGGCACCTTGCTGTGTAGTCCAGGACACTGTTCTCCCAATATCTGCTCAGGCAAGTCCCTTGGCCTCCACCTTGCCCCAGGCAGTGTTTTTCATGGCCCAGGCTGGCCAGCATTGGTAATCTTATTCTGTTGCTGTGTCAGAGTTGCTCTCTCCTCTGTCTGAGGAGCACTTACCTATGTACTTCAGGGTGGTAAAGATGCTAAGTTCTATGTTTCTTCTGCATGCTAGGTAGGTAGAGGCTTCTTCACTGAGCTACACTCCAGCCCTGTAGTCTTGAGGAGAATTTCTTTTTTTTTTTCAATCGGTACCAGGGATTGAACCCACGACTGCCTGCCTGCAATGCAGGCGCTTATGCGGCTGAGCTAAATCCCCAGCCCCTGAGGAGAATTTCTTAAGAACACCTGTGTTCATAAGACCTTCACTTGATTAGTTGAGGCTCAATCATTAGAGAGGATATACTGATTAAAAGCATACTGATTAAACCATTATTTCATCTTTTAAAAAAAATTTCACAGCAACATTTAGATTAACATCTAATCACTATGGAACCTTACGAAGTTAACACAAAATCAGTGTCACAGTATATTTGTGTAAGTGAACTTTCTGATAAATGTTAGCATTTCTTTGAATTTATAGGTTAATTTGGAAAGTACTAACAACTTACAGACTCTCCATTTACCAAAACTATAATTTTCTTTATATAGGTCTCACACCTTTTTTTTCCCATTACTTGGTCATGTTTTGTAACCCTTTCCATTTGATTCAGAGTGTTACAGGAAAAAAACTTGAATTTTATTTTGTCTTGTGAATGGTCACAGTAATAAATACTAATTTTCTACTTGGTTGTCATGGATTATCTAGTTAGCTTTGTATAATATACTAACAGCTATGACTTGCAGAAAAATATTGACCCAGGACAGTGGGTACTCCCTATTTTTTAAATTTGAATTGTAATTCCTCTAGTGTTTTTGTCTTAGGTGGATTGGCTAGTGTCTGTGAGTTCTATGAAGTTTACAAAAAGGAATTCCATGCTTTTTTACTTGGCTGAAAAGGTCTGTTTTTAAGCTAGTAACTTGGCTTACTAGTTTATCTATTTCAATTTCTTCATAGAAGTTGTTTCCTCAAAAACATTGAAATTTTTTTTATAGACTTTGGTTTTTTAAGCACTTCACGTCTTCGTCCAAAGCAATAGGTATAGATCACAAAATGTTAATAAAAGACCCTATCTGTGATGAGTTTTTTTTTTTTTTTTTAAACTTAAAAACAAACCTTAGAACAAAGTTTTAATTTTGGCTTCTGTTACTGAGTGACTGTTCTGTTGAATTACTTAAATGTTCAAGCTTCATCCCTGCAAATGGTGGTAGTAACTATTTCATTGCTACCATTGAGTTTTAAATAAGTTAATAGATATGCAAGGTTCTTAGACTGTGTTTGTGTTTAGAAAATATTAATTGCTCTTTTATGTAAGAACTTTAATTACCTGACCTAGAGTTAAAAGGAAAAAACACATTAGAGATATCCCAGAACAACTCTACACTTAGTTTGGTCTTAATACTATATTTGTTGTCCAACTAGAGACCTTCCTAATTTAGAAATTTGTCGTTCAGTAAAGTAGAACCAGAATCTCTAGACAGAACTGCCACAGCGCAGCATCAGGAATTTGACGTTAAAATCCATGAGTAGAAAGCTGGGCATGGTGGCACTGTAGTCCTGTAATCCCAGCACTTAGGAGGCTGAGGCAGGAGGGTCCTTTCAAGTTGGAGACCAACCTGGGCTACAGAGTGAGCCCAAGGGCATCCTGACCTGCATAGTGAGATCCTGTCTCAAAAAGACCATGCACACACACACACACACACACACACAATTTCTTGAGTGGAATGGGCCAGTTTGAAGGCAGTTTTTATTTTGGAGGTCAGATACTGAGTGAGGGCTTTAAACTATAGTAAAGCAGTGTCCGCACCCTGGTTCTGATTCTGCCCTTCACTGACTGCACCAATATTATATTCTTAATCACCAAGGCCTTAATTGAGTTTCCCTGTCTTTAAAAAGATAAAACTACATTTTTGGGTTTTTGTGATGAATTATCTTTGTAACCCACAGAAACAGAGTATATATTCAGCATGTTACTTTCTTTTCTAAAGATGTCTTATTTTTACACCCTTTCTCACCCCAGTACTGAGACTCAAACCCAGGGTGAGGGCGCTAACACTAGCTATGTTCCCATCACCCTTCTTTTTGTAATCCCAAATATTGAGTACAATTATCCAAGTATCCTAATCCCTTTTCCACACAATCCAAAAGGATGTATTCATAATCTCATTGAGACGTTATTGGAATCCCAGCAAGTTAATTCCAGTTCTAATCTCCCACCTCCCATGCCTAGAATAAAGACACCTTCCAAGTTAAGGGCAGCCAAGGGATCCTAAGTCCAGTCCGTTTGGGGATGTGTGGACAAAGGCCCTGATCCTAGGCCTCTCCCAGAATTTACTATGTTGTAAAGAAGCGGGGTAGTTAGGGATGAATGACAGTGAGGATGGCATAAGTAATTTGAGCTGGCTGACCAAGTGGGGAGAAAAGCATCTCTGCAAAATGCAGAGATAAAGATATGTAGAAGGATCGATTTGCACAATTCAAGAAGGTAGCAACTGAGTTGTTTTGGGAGACCGTTGCCTCGGTTTCTGATATGTAAATTTTTGTGCCCTAGGGAGTCATAGCCTCATTACCTTGAGGCTCATACCCAGTTGACATTCCGGGAGCTTATCTTAACTTCCCGCTGGTGCTCACATCCTTTTTGTAGAACACTATGTGAGGGAACACATACCGGTACCTCAGCTAGCCTTATTTACAATGCTTAGAGCCAATTGAAGAGAGAAGGAAATACCATAGCCAGCTCTACATATCAGTAGGAGGAAAGAAGTCTCCAAATAATCAAGAGTTGCAGTAATTGTTTGCATTCAAGGGGAGACACTGAACTTGCCCCGACACTTTTTCTTTGGAGACAGGGTCTTACTAAATTACTCAGGTAGGACTCAACTTCCACACCTCCTACCTCAACCTTCCTCAATACTGGGATTATGGACATGCACCACTGGGCCTGGTTTAAATTGCTATTCTAGACATAGGACCTCATGAAGTACACTTTTTTTAGCATAATTAAACTTTTTAATCTCCCTTTACATATTATATTAGCATTCATATTATAAAGCATTCCATTCACAAATACTATGGATTCGTAAAAACTACATCATACCATCTGATAGAATTGGGTTCCCGGTCAGGGAACCATACGATAGGATTCTGGCGTGGCTAAAAATATAAGAAGTATGAAATATAAATGACCTTTATCTTAAGAATGTGGGAGAGACCCCCTGACCCTCTGAACTGGCATTCTCTCTGTTGGACACGTGTAGTGGGGGCATACCTATAGCTTAGGTTTGGGGTGGAGCCTAAGGTGCATTAGCGATGCACAGGTAGCCCATTGGTATGCATTTTGCACCACAGGTAAATTCCTAGGGGCGGGGGAAGATGGAGCCCCTTTGTTTCCCCTCCAAGGCTACATTGTCCCATCTGGGCCAAAATCGTTTCACCATCTAAGTCTATACCAGATTTAGTCACTTTAATAAATCATTAAAATGAAAGTAATGAAAACATTATCAAAACTCTGTTAAAGCAATAAAGGTCTGAGGCACTCTGAGAAAGATTTTTTTACAAGTATAATGTGTCAGTGGCACCAAATTACAAGAAAATGGTGTTACCCTTTTATTTTTTAAAGAAAATTGCTAGTAATCTGATGTAAGCGTTAAAGTTTTGAGGAAGAGCCTAGTGAAAAGGTGGTGAGATTTCTTCATGCCCCTATCTTGTGCTGCTCTCTTTATTATGTTAGTATATTGTGGGAGCATATGGGCATTTTTCTACATGCATTGACAGTGATTATATAAGGCAGTCTTTTTATGTTTTACAGTTGACTGAAACTGTACACTATATGTGCAGAAAGTCAGAAATTTTTAGTCTAAGTAAATGAAATATTACAAAAAACATGTACACTGCCAAATTAATTATGAAATAAGCAGATAAAAAGTCATTTTTAAAAAACCATTGAATTATCATTGAGAAAGAAAATCAGAATAAAAAATTTTATCTTTCCCAAAATAACATTTGCGTAAAAATTAGCAATGCCTTTGAACCAAGATCCTCTGGAATATATAGGGAAAACAGGACCATGCATAACAGCATGTGTGGCTATGGGTGAAGCTAAACATCAGTTGTTTCTGTTTGTTTTCTGAATCACAGTCTGCATTTTAAAGTGGAATATTGACATTCCTATTCCAGAAGCTGCTTGATAGATTTGATTATGATGATGAGCCAGAAGCTATGGAAGAATCGAAAAAAGAGGATTGTGCTGCCATTCTTCCTGCAGCACCTGCTGCTCCTGCCACAGCTCCTGTGCCTGCCGTGGCCACACCTGCCCCCTCCACTGCTGCCGCTGCCACGCCTGCCGCACCTGCCGCTGCCTCTTCTCCTCCACAGACACCATTGTGAGCTGCTTGCTAACTCCTTGACACAGAAAGCTGGTAGTAGCTGTAAAGCCACTCATACTTAGCAATAAAAGCAGTGTAGAATGCAGTTGTTTTTGTAAAATTGCGTTACAGTTTTCTTCTAAACAAAGAGGGTATCTTGGTAGATTTAAAATGAAAAATTGCTTCTATATTGGAAATAATACTGAGGATATAGGTTAATAGGTCAGTTAATATATTTAGTAACATGTTTACTCATGACTTCTGAACAACATTGTTCTTATAAATGTGGATGAGAATCTTACTCTGGCTTTTTTTAGTGGGTTTCCTGGAGATGGCATGCAGCAGCCAACATACACACAACATCAAAATATGGATCAGTTTCAGCCTCGAATGATGGGAATACAAGACCCCATGCACCACCAGGTAAAGCCATTTTTCTCCATGAATTGTAATAGCTTCAGCGCTGTTCCTTTACATTGGTTTGTACTTTGCAGACCAGTATTACTTAGTTGTATGATTAGCTAACTACAACCTCCAATTTGGACAAAAGCTGTTTGAGTTGCTTTTATTTTAATTAAAACAAAGTTGCTAAACATAATATGTTTGTACTGTATTGAATAATAGGTATTTCAGTTAAAATAATTCAGGGAATCTCCAGTTCAAAACTGTAAGTTACAGTTTTGTATAAAGAAACTCACTTGTTTAACTTTGTGCAAGAGCCCTTCTGTGTGTTGTATGATTAGATATTTTAAAGGACTTTCAACCAATGTTTGGGAATATAGTTTGAAATCTGTAATAAAAAGAATATACTTTAAAAAAAAAAGAATATACTTAGCACACTGGAGAGTTGCAGGAAGTTAGTAGAGATTTGTTTCTGTAAATGCTCTTAATTGAGTTTTTAAAAATAGGCTGTGCATCTTAAATTATGAGGGCAGGAAAGGTATTTAAAAAAACAGCCTAGCCCTTCAGTGGTATTGTCAGCTAAATAACTGGCTTGGCTTTGCTTTGCTTTTTTTAACTTAACAATGCAGTGATTCTGTTTTACAACTAGCTTCTAAAAATACTGCTGCATAATCTTCTTAGAAACAGCTTTGGGACCTCTTTACACTATATTCATTTTCTTAATCTGTATTTTCAGTCCATTCTTTATATTTTATAATATGAAATTGATAGAGTGCTTTAATGACCTCATTGATGAAGTGTGGAACCTCTTTCATAAACCTGTTTAAAGTATGGAGAAAACACGTGAAAATATTTCCAATTGTTTCTGAGTGCATGTTCACAAGTTAATTTCGAAAGATGTTTTGTGACATATTAGTTTTAATGTATTAGTGTTGGACTTATGTAGGCAAAAATATGTTAAGTTGTGATTTTCTGTCATTATTACTGTATTGCTTTTGTTTTTGTTTGATACCAGGGGTCAAACTCAAAACTTCGTGCTTGTCAGGCAGGCACTTATCCTGCTGAACTAAATCCCCAGCCTTCTGTATTTTTTTTTTTTTTTTTTTTTTTTCTGTGTTGTATTTGAAACTCTAAAAACTTTCAGAATATTGAAGTTACTGCCAGTAAATTTATTTGAAAAAGTTGAAAGACAATTTGCAATAGTATTTTTTAACTTTTAAGTTTGGTTTCCTACATTACTTCTTATTTAACTGAAGCTGTCCTTAGTGTATTTAAAATTTTTAAAGTGAACATTGAATTTTTAACCTGAATACAGGATTTGAATGTGTAACAATACTGTGGGAAAAGATGCAGAAGAAATGTAGCTTTTCCTTGATCAAAGTTTATTGACTGTATTTTACTTCTATAAAAAGTAAATTATTTTTGATAGCTATTCCTTAAAACCTCACATATTATCTTTAAAAATGAAAGGTCCCACTTCCTCCTAATGGACAGATGCCAGGATTTGGACTTCTTCCCACACCTCCATTTCCTCCAATGGCACAGTCTGTGATTCCTCCAGCTCCATCCATGCAGCAGACTTTCCAGCCCTCTTTTCAGCCACAGAATGAACCACTTCCACAGAAGCCACATCAGCAGGTAGGATTTTATTGTTAGATTGTCTGTGATTGTTTTGGTTGCCTTGATTTATGTAGAAGTCTCGCCTATTTACTTGCCGTATTCATTCCTTACTATGAAGGAAAATCTTGGCACATATTAAACCCTCTCTGTGCTCTAAATTTTTTTTCATTTGAAAAATATACATCATAATACCACCAGCTTCATAGAATGCTATGAAAATTGAGATGGAATGTAGGAGTCGTAATCAGTACCTAATTTGTTAGGTAATAGTTTATTAAGGTGGAGGGTAATTCATTTCTCACTCTGTGTTGGTTTTTGTTTTTAAGGAGATGGAAGTGGAACAACCATGTATTCCAGAAGTTAAGCGGCATATGTCTGATAACAGAAAGTCAAGATCTAGGTCAGCATCCAGGTAATTTATATAGCTCTGTATGTCTTAAGAGACATATAGATGAAAATCAGATTAGATGATTTTCAGATTTTGAGTGTTAATATTTATGTTACTGTTTGTGGAGAAAAGAACAAAAGAAATACTGAATTTTTTTTCAGTCCTAGGTCTGTCATTTTACCATATTTGTTTCCTTTGACTTGATCTAGCACTTATGTATAGATACATAAAAGGCAGTAACAATGTACAACAGTAATTTTATTACAGCATAAGATATTCTGCTAATTACCCTCAAAATACTCCTCCTTGCTTTGAATACACTTATCCTATTCTCTGTTTTTTTCTCCATGTGCTATCTATTCTCCCTTGTAATGAAAATTAGGTCACCCAAGAGAAGACGATCAAGATCTGGTTCTAGATCGCGACGGTCACGTCACCGACGTTCGCGATCTCGGTCCAGAGATAGACGCAGACATTCTCCTCGGTCCCGATCCCAAGAAAGACGGGATCGGGAGAAAGAGCGAGAACGTCGACAAAAAGGCCTTCCTCAGATCAAACCAGAAACTGCAAGTGGTAAATAAAACTTTGTTTCAAACTTCTTATACTATTTTTTGTTTTATAACTGTTACCAAAGCCATAAAGGAAATGTTATGACTTTGTTGTTCTATTCTAAATACTGCACATTCCCATACCTTAAGTTCATGTATTATAAAATCCTTTGCTAGTATAGTGTACAGTGGAAAGATCGGTCTTTTTGTTTTGTTTTTTCTCGGGATAGTTTCTACCCTTTTTTTTTTAAAGTAAACTTTTGATCATTTACAGAATGTATTAGCTTGTAGTGTATCCTGAATCATCAGGTATCTTTAAAATATGTTTAGTGAGCTCTGCTAGACATATTCTTGGTGTAAATCAGTGACTCATAATGCTTTCACATTGTAATAATAACTAGAGTATATGTGAAATTTCTGTCTCTGTAAGTATTGTTACTGAGGACACAGCATAAAAGAAAAACTGTACACTTAGGAGTTGGGAAAGTATGGCTCCACGTAGTGAGCAGAGCACTAAGTTGGTAATCAACAGACTTGTGCTCAATCCTAGCTCTGCAGTTCCCTGGCAGGGTAACAGTGGGCAAGCGAATCATTGTGCTTTTGCCTTTAGGTTTCAAGGGTGGTATCTTTAGGTCTCTAGGAAAAGAGTCATTTTCTCCAGCTTTTATGTAGCCTTTCTCTCAGTTCCACTTGTGGAAGTGCTGGCACAGCTTTCTAAAACCTTAAAAAATTATATAGGATTTTCTCTTCAGCTTTTGGTATAATACAGCTCATACATTTTGTGTAGTGAGTTTTTTTTTTTTTTTAATGTAAGATGCAGTGCTGCTTATCAAATGTAAATATTATCATGATTATAATTTCATTTTAAGTTTGCAGTACTACTCTCTGGGTGGGACAGCTGGACAAAAGGACTACTCAGCAAGATGTTGCAAGTCTCTTGGAAGAGTTTGGGCCCATTGAATCAATTAATGTGAGTGTTCATTTATTTAATGACTGGACAGATACACTTAATGTTATTTTATGAAATTAAGAATTTGAGATCTCAGTTACTAGTTGTACAACTTGTGACTGTAAGTTAGATGTCCCTCATCCATATTTAGCATTCTCGGCATTTAATAATTTTTGGATAGCCAAGTTTAACTTTAAAAGCTTTTTCTAGGAAAAAAGTTTTTAATGACAAAATCTGGAAATGTCAGTGGAAACCAGTGGATCACAAATTAGTTTAACCTTAGCTTATACATCACTGGCCTAGGGGGTGAAGAACATGGGTTGTTGAAACTGGTTACTTAATATTAAATATTATTGTTTTATTATCATGTTTTATAATATTAAATGTTTTGGATCAGATGATTCCTCCGAGAGGCTGTGCCTATATCGTTATGGTTCATAGGCAAGATGCTTATCGTGCCCTGCAGAAACTGAGCCGAGGAAACTATAAAGTGAACCAGAAGTCCATAAAGGTACAGTTTATAATTCATCTTTTCAAAATGTTAATATGGAGCTGTGTGGCTTTTTAAAAACTCATTTTGGGCCAGGCATGATAGCACCCCAGCAATTAGGAAGCTGAAGCAGGAGGATTGCCTGTAGTTTCACTTTCAAGCTGGGTACATAGTGAATTCAAAGCCAGCCTCAACTACATAGTAAGAAAACTATGTCAAAAAACAAATTTTTGGCTTAGATATGACTTAAGGTGTTGCTTATGCATGTTTTTCTTCCCTCCAAGTTATCACCTAACTTAAGGGTTGAATTAACACAAAAATTTAGATGTTAGATGAATGGCCCTCTCTGTCTCCTCTTCTCCCCTCATTGCTTAGGGTTGAACCCAGGGCCTTCACACTGAGGTAACCCCCAACCTTTTTTATTTTGAAACAGGGTCTCACTAAGTTGCCCAAGTTGGGCTTATATATGTGAGCTTCCTGCTCAGCTGGAATTACAAGCATGTACCACCACGCCCAGCTAAAGTAGTGTCTTAATATATTTTCTTTTTCAGATATTCTGGCTATTCCACACATTAAAGGTTTTCATCTGTAAAACTATAAAAAAATAATCACCAAATAGAAAATGATGTAATGTATATGAGCATTCATCCTGTAAAGAAACAGAATCAGTATGTCCTCAGTGGCCTAATACCTTGTCTTGCCCTGAATTATAGGACAAAAAAGTATTGTCTAATGTGGAGCAGTTCCTAGTTTCCCATAGATAATTTTTTTTCTGAGTCAGATTTTCACTGTGTGTAGTCTGTGCCGACCTTGAACTTCCTGTGTAGCCCAGGCTGTCTTCGAACTCACAGCGTCCTTGATCTCAGCCTCCCAAGTGCTCAGTTTTGCCATAGACTTTCAGAAGTGCTGTCCAGGATCTTGGGCTGTACAGAGAATTTCATTCTCTCCCTGATAATTTCCCTGAGTTTTGGAGGGGAGGGTAATAAGGAAAAGATGCCAGTGTAATTTTTATCCTAAGACAAAGAATGTATGGTAACCATTTCCATGGCGAGACTAAGGCTTGGCCAAGAATAGTTTGTCCAGATGAGTACAATGATAAGGAGTGGTGAACTCTTTGAGATCTAACAGCTTTCTTTTTTCTTCTTTTTATTTTGTGTTCTCACTAATGGTGAAATAGATTGCCTGGGCCTTAAACAAAGGAATAAAAGCAGATTATAAACAGTATTGGGATGTAGAACTTGGTGTTACTTATATTCCATGGGACAAAGTCAAGCCCGAGGAACTAGAAAGTTTTTGTGAAGGAGGAATGTTGGACAGTGATACACTTAATCCAGGTAAAATACTTCATTTCTTTCACAATCCATATGTTGGTCAGGGGTTCATATGAAAAATGTCTGGCTTATTTTCCACATTAGGAAGAAATTTTACAGAACTTTTTAAAGTACCCTATGATATGCCAGTTTTACTATTGTAAATTGAGGATACAGTGGTGAAGAAAAGTGGTCTTTGCCCTGTAAACAACCCAATGAGAGATTACAGACACAAAAATTAAGTAAATCTTACATAGAATTTTTCATTATGAAAATTTAACCAATCAATCTTTAAGCAATATTAGTATAGGTTGATCATCTCTATTTCTCAGAATTCTCTAAAATCTGAAATGTAGCACTAACCTAAGACCTAAGTTTTGGTTTGGGGGGCATTTCAGATTTCAGACTTTTGGAGTAACGATGCTCCAATGGTAAAATCTATGCAGATATTTTAAAATTATACATGTTCGGTCCAGGCATTTTGGATAAGGATACTTAGCCTGTGTCATAATCCAGTGCTTCATAATAATTTCTTCGGAAATGTTCAGACAGTCCAAAAAAATGTGTTAAGACCAGGAGGTTCAGTTATTTGAATATCACAAATGGTGTATTGGTTGACTGCAATAGGAAGCAGGGCGAACTATACAGTTACGACCTGGAGGTAGGAGTGCAGAGCATAGAGTGGAATGGTAAAACAGAGTACACACTAATATGGTCTTCAAGCCACAGTGACAGTTTGAGTACAAAAAAGAGGTGAGACAGCACACACTTAAACCTCCTTCCATAATGCATGGTACCACCACAAAGGGCTGAGCTAAGTTTCTGTTCAGACAAATGTGCCTGCTGTGTGCCAGGCATCTGGGAAGCTGTGGACCAGGATGGAAGGAGTAAGCCTGGAATCCTGGAATTGCTGATCCAGTGAAGTGTTGCTGAAGACACTGAAAATATAAGACTCAGAGCAAGCAAGGCCCCAGAGGATAAAGGGGAGACATCTTTTGCTTAACTAAAAGATAGGTGGAAATAATTGGAAGGATATTTGAGTTACTCTTCAGTATTAGGCACAAGTTTCTTTTATATATTCTTGTGTGGATAAGAATGTGTTCTCTAGAATTGTATGTGTATGAATTGAACTCATCCTTGTCACTTACTAGGAATGTGCCTTGTAATAAGTTGTCTTTGTTTTCCTCTTTGTAATATGAGAATAACAATATCTATGAGTGATTACAAGAATGAAAAAAGTAGGGTACACGAAGTGCTTAGGACCATGCCTGGCATATGTAGTAAGCATTTGTCACATTTTCTCTTTATCTCTATTCATTAATTCAAGTAATTCATTAATTCAAGTAATTACTATTTATAAAATTAACATAAGAATTTCTTTAATAATCAGACTGACAACTTTTTTATTTCTAGATTGCAAGTTAAAAACTAAAAATGGTAAATTTTTTATTTCTAATAATTCTGTAAATCTTATAGATTGGAAAGGAATTCCCAAGAAGCCTGAAAATGATGTGGCTCAAAATGGAGGCGCAGAAACCTCACACACAGAACCAGTGTCACCCATACCCAAGCCCTTACCTGTGCCTGTGCCTCCTATTCCTGTTCCTGCACCTATAACAGTGCCACCTCCACAGGTAAGAATGCTGGGACATTATTTTAAGTTTTTAAATCTTCAGATCTGTGTTTACATTCACAGTACAAAATAAGAACATAAATGTGTATTGTTCATATTTTGGTATGTCACATTCATTGTTTATAAACTATACATTATTTTTATAAATATTCATAAAACCAAAATAAGTTTGTATTGCTTTGCATCTGTCCAGAGTATTCAATGTCTTAACCTTATCAAGTCCTAGACATAAAATTCAAACATGTTCATTTTAAATAGGGCCTTTATTCTTTGCTCTGAAGAAACTTGGATATGTACCCACTACACAGCTGTTTGATGGAAAGGAAATTACTTAAATCTTCAGTTTAAGTGTTAGCACTTATAAATTTTTTCTTGAATTGAAAGCTAAAATCTTTGCTAGAAAGTTAGCCAACCTGATACTTCAAAAGAAAGAACCCAGATTCTGGTAGAAATAAACTTGATTTCCACTCCATTACTTATGCACATGGCTTTGGGCAAGTCACCTAACTTCTCAGCTTGCATATTTTAATCTCTTTAACTGTGCATATTCCTTTTCCTAGTGTTGGCCGTGATATTCTGCCTATATCACATTTGTTTTAAAGATTGAATGAGGTAATACACAGAGTGTGATGGGACAATACAGTGAATATTTAAATTTTTAAAAATTTATTACAGTAAAAGAAACATTGCTGTTAATCTCCCCTTCAAAATACTCTGTCTCACTTTGAACACACTTAGCAATCTTGCCTCTTTCTGAAGCAGTTCTGGAAGTCTTCCTTTGTGAGTGTCTTTAATTATGTTGCCAGTGTCTTAACTAGGTTCAAAACATTACCTTTCCTGGTCATTTTGACTTTGAGAAAAATAGCAGCAGTTACCCAGTGCCAAATCTAGGAAATAAGGTAGATGGGAACACTATAAGCGTTTTTACAACCCTGCCTTTCTGTTGGATGATACTTGACAGCAGTATTCACTGTGGCTTTCATCACATCGCATAAAGACAGTCACAGAGGAGGTTAAGTCGAGTTAGTGTATTGGAGTATAATAGGCACAAACTGAAGAAAAACCCCAAGTCAGAAGTGTAATATTCCTCTGCTCACATCATGTGGGAGACAGCTGGATATGTGATTTCATTTTTCTTTCCAGGTCCCACCACATCAGCCAGGTCCTCCTGTAGTTGGTGCCCTCCAGCCACCTGCTTTCACGCCTCCCATGGGAATTCCTCCTCCAGGCTTTGGGCCTGGTGTTCCTCCACCTCCTCCCCCTCCACCATTTTTGCGTCCAGGATTCAATCCAATGCATTTACCACCAGGTACACTGAGTTATTTGAGAAGACATTCTTCTAGAACCTAAAATGACGTGGTAACAGCATACGTTGACATTACTTTTCTCATTCTAGGGTTTCTTCCTCCGGGACCCCCACCTCCTATAACTCCACCTGTATCCATTCCTCCTCCTCACACTCCACCAATAAGCATCCCAAACTGTAAGCATACTTATCCTTCCTATTCACTTGACTTCTTGGAGCTGGGGTTAGCAGGGCACGTGAACCAATAATAGGATCTGTAGTATGTCAGAAAGATGTTGGCCGGGAAGATAATTAATTATTCAGCTTCACATGTTGATGTAATTATATTCCTTAGCTACTATCGCTGGTATAAATGAAGACACTACAAAAGACTTATCTATTGGAAATCCCATTCCAACAGTGGTGTCTGGGGCTAGAGGAAATGCCGAGTCTGGTGACAGTGCGAAAATGTATGGCTCTGCTGTGCCACCTGCTGCACCTACGAATCTGCCTACCCCTCCTGTAACCCAGCCTGTTTCACTTCTTGGTAAGTTAATCTTTTTATCACTAGTTTTTTTCTCCCCTCAAGCTAGGTTTTTAAAAACGTTAAATTTTGATAAAATGATTCTTAAGGCTAGTTTTCTTTGAAGATCTTTCTGTTAAATGTGTGTACTTAGCCTTTACTGGGAGACAGTCTCAAAGGTGAAATTATGCTTGTTTATTTGTCTCGGATACAAGTTTTGATGTGCAGATCTTTATTTGGTATAAAATGTTACTAATAACTAGGGGCTTAGCTCAGTGATAGAGTACTGGCCTAGCATGTGTGATGTCCTGAACAGTTCTCAGCACTGCTCCTAATGCTTAAGCAAAGAAATTGGTACCCAGTCCATGGTTAACATGATCATAGACTCCTGCAGCTCTAGAACAGACATTTCTATGATAATTAGAAGTTATCATTATGATAATTGATTTTTTTCCTCTGTGTGGAATCCATTTTTAATCCATTTGAACCCCTGAGCTTCAGTAGTTTTTTGTAGGCTGGCAAAAAAAAAAAAAAAAAAAAAAAATTGTTGATATATTGCAGTAAGATGCTTAGTTTTTTGAATGACAGTTGGATAGACTAAGAAACCTTTTTTCCCTGACCCCTCAGTTTTCCTGTGCTAGAGTTTATTTGCTGTACTTCCCGCATATTCTTAACACTGATCAAGGGGTGGTGACTTGCTTTTGTTTACATATCTTTAAGATGGATCACTCTGGCTTGTTAGATTATAAATATATCACATTAGTGTTTATTTTTATTAGACTACTATTTAAATCAATGAATTGTTATATTTGAAGTGGTGTATTGCTAAGTATAATTAACATTTGACTTTCCTAACTGGAAGTTAATACTTTGTGAGTGTTACAACGTTCTTATTCTGTCAGTATTTTTCAGAGCTGTATATGTGCGTGCACACTTGCTTTCATTACCTTAGATAGTTTTAGGAAGGAAACCACTGATTACCACTGACCTGTAGGACTGTGAGACATCAGTTTATGATAAGCGTTTATATTTTTTCAACTGTACTTTTCAGTACTGTTGAGAAGTTCATTTTGTTAATGTACCTCATTTACAATAAAAATTGATTTGTTTTTAAATGGCGCGTTGCATTTTACACAAATTGAGCAATGAGAAGAGAGGATTTGGGACTAAAATTTACTAGAAATTCAGCAGTAGTTATGATAATAAGGGAAATTTGTTTAATGAGGAAGTTGCTTAAGAAGCCTAATGGAAATCATACAGTAGAACCAATATTGGACAAAGAATTTTGATGTCTTTCAATCTCAGTTCGTATGCTTTTGTGTATATTTGTGATACGGTGGTTGCACAAGAGTGATAGATTCTGAATCAGAATTTTCTGATCAGCTTTTTCCTTCACACCTACTCTGCCTGCACCCCTGTTATGAACTCATTTTGAAATCAAATCTCCTTGTGTAGAGTTCATGGATATTAGGCCATCTGAGACTGTTTACAAAATTGCGTTTGTGCTTTTCTCTGAGCTCAGTAAATTCATTAAATGAGTGGAAAGATTTCATGATCTCCAAGAGTTTAAAAGCAGACCACTGTTTTCAGATTATCCTGAAAAGTAAGTACCTCTCTGATTTAACATCAGGTCTTGAAAACCCTGCCCTTTATTTCTTATGCCTACTGAAAAATTTAACCTTTGGATCCTATGAAATGCAATAAAAATCACAGATCAGAAGTTGGTGAGCTTGAGAAGTAACCTCAGTAAGCTGTGCACTGCTAGAAGAATATAAACTCCAAATCTTTATTCCCATTTCTCATTATCTGACACATCTGGCTGAGCATCCTGTCTTCCCTGCCCTGGTTGTGAGGTTTGTGAGACAGCAGACATCTTTTTCCATGAATAAGAGGATAACATAGTTGGGCAGGTTTCAGAGCAGGGCTGTTGATACTTAATGTCTGTAAGTTTTAAAACAAGTTTAAATCCCAGAAGGTTTGAAATTTAACATAAGGTAAAAGTGGAAGCTTTTTTAAGTACTTGAACTAAATGTAGTATTTACTTGCAGCTGTGAGAAAGCCTGTGTGCCTTAAATTGTGAAAAAGGTATAAGTTTTGACATTTTAAAAAAGTGAAAATAATTGCAAAATTTAGTAGCAAAAAGTATAGTATAGTGACTAAAGGTTTACATCAAATAAAACAGGCCCTTCTGCAAGGGCACAGTGCATTTCTCCACTTGAAAGCCATTATGTATACTCATTCACAGGCTTTTGACTTGGTAATTCTATTTCCTCTTGTTATCACCATTCCAGTATTGTTTTCTTGCCCCAGTTTACCATCTTTATATATTCATCTGTCAACAAGAGTCATAGAGATATCACATCCCCCCACAATATTCCTTGAATATGTGTACCACCTTTTAATTTCAGTGATAACTTTTTTTTTCAACTTGGGAGGATAAGTTTTGCTCCTGGTGTCTGCTTGGCTTGCTCAGAGCTGCTTTTTTGAAGAGACTTTTTTTTTTTTAATGTATATGCAAATAAAGGAAGATGCATTGAAAAGACTTAACTATAATTCCAGCATTTGATGAAGGAGCACAGTAATCACCTTGCAATACTAAAGGATCACTGATTCTTGGAGTATTTCTGGTGTTTTTCAGGTGTTTAGTGCTGGAGCTAAGATGCTTCAGTGTTTCTTGGTGCTCTGGTGTTTTCTAAGTTAATAAAATGAAAATGTTATGCTGCTGAACAAAAAACTGTAAGATCAGAAGTTTGTACTGAGCCCCCATTTCCTCTTCTGTGAAGGGGAATAAAAATTACACTTCATTGTCATGATTCCATGGCTTAACACATGCAAGACACGTGACAAGGGGCCTGTAAGTAGAGTGCTTATTATCTGTAACAGATGTCATAGATGATACTTAGAACACCTGGAGAAGAAAACTTTCCAGTTCTAAAATTATGATGTTTTACTATGATTGATTTTAAATTTAGTTGGCAGACAAGAAGCAAAATTTTTAGGAAATAATGTATCTTGACATAGTTTTCTCAGATATTTTCATAGTGGATTAGACCAAATCATAAATTCACATATTTAAGTTCCATCATTTGGCTTACTAAGAAAATGTGTTAAGTCATAGTGGGTATTTCATTTAATTAGCAGGACTCAAAATCCAAATTCTTCCATTAATGGTATTAAATGGTTTTCTTATAAGGAACAGTAAAGTAGATGTATTGTTGAGGCTTAGTTCTTAGAGCATAATTTTTGAAATACATTAGTATTTCTAAAGTAGCAGGGGTCAAACAAATGTTTAGCACAAATCTGGAAATTCTGTACTGAGGCTAGAGAATAATGAAGAGGCAGTGGGGTGCCATAAGGATAGTCTGGTGTAAAGAATTCCGCATTATGGATATTCGTTTGAGAGTTACTCTTTCTGGAGTTGGCGTAAGGTGGCCACCTCTACTGAATTTGGAAAGAATTAAACAACATCTTATAGAGATGCTGATTCTTTTGTATTACTGATCATTTGAAAACAAAAAAATTACTAGACATATGAAAAGTAATCTATTGCTACTTGATTTTAAAGAAATCTGTGCTTAGTACTTCATCAAAGTAGCTAGGGCAATGGTTTTCATACAAGCTGAAGATAACATTCTACGGTTGTTGCTCATCTAAGGGAGAAAGAACTTTAAAGACAATTACAATCCAGCTCATTTTCTTGATTGTATAAGCATCTGTTTACTTTTCAAAAACTTTTGTATAATATGTATTGCTAATATGATGTACAGCATACTTCCATTAAAAAGTTCATTGTAAATGTGAAAGTTTGGGTTACTTTCGTGTTCCAAACAATAAAAAAAAATACACAAAAAAAAGTTTGTTTGTGTTACCTATCTCTGTTGTGTTACGAGGATATCCAAAATGTGTTTTCAAACAAAACTGTTCTAAGTTGAACTCATTCCTTTTGTAGAGAATGAACGCTTCCTCTTGACAAATGTATTTATTCATTATTTACTACTACCAAAAGGTTTCCACCAGGTTTCTGTCACACTACTGCCAATAATGGTGAAGTTTATAACAGATGTGTTTGATTTATACAATAGTTATGGTCCCTGAGACTGTGTAGAAGATGGGTAATTTTACCAGAAATACATATTTGATTTATAGTTTTACTAAGACAATGTGTTAAGTCATAGTGGGTATTTCATTTAAGTAGCAGGATTCAAAATCCGAATTCTTCCATTAATATCTAATAGTTTTCTTATAAAGAACAGTAAAGTAAATATATTATTGAGGCTTAGATCGTAATTTCTGAAATATATCAGTATTTCTAAAGTAGCAGGGGTCAAACATATTTAAATATGCATTGCTGTTTTGCACTTAGCTTTCAGTTTCTCTGCCTAGACTGATTTCATCATTTTTTGATAGCTAATAATTTTTAACATTTAAAAATTAGAGTTTCAATTTACTAGAGACACACTAACTAGTCAGTAACATTAGAAGAAAACCTAAAGGAAATTCTAGAAATTATGATTTTTAAAAACAAATAATGCTTAATTTTTAAAAGTATATCTTGCATTTTAATTTTTCATTTCAAACTCTAATATACATATTAAATTATAAATTTAAGCAGATATATCCAGGGTTCATTTTGGTACCAAAAAAGCCTAGTGACTTTATCCTTCAAATGTATTTTTTGGAAGCTTTAAAATACTTGAATTGGTACTCCAAATATTGTGTTATATTATTCCACTGGTGTTACATAACAGAAATGGTATTTAAATATTCATTACGATGCCTTTAGTTTAGTATGTAACATTGTTCAGTGGATAATTTGAAATAGTAATTAATCCACAACAAATATTTGTCTCAAAGATGAGTTTGTGCATGATTACACTATCTCAGAAGACAAATAAAATCCCTCAAACAAAATATGAGGAAGATACTGAAATATTCCAAAGAGCACATTAGTGTCTCCATGTCCTCTCGGGTTGTCACATCCTAGGCTGCTGTAGAGCACCAGCCTGAAGAGTGTCTTTAAATTT